GCTTCGCTCAAGGCTTTCTCCAAGTTCTCAGAATCTCTCAGCTCTAGTAGAATGTTTTCTGCAGCTCCTCTGATCTTCTCCTCAGAGACACTGATGGTGTATCTGGCCAACAACTGTGATGCAGCAACCAGGAAGTTGTCTGTCAGGACACGCTTCTTAAGACTGTCATAATGAGCGCTCAGAAAATTGTCGGGGATGCCAAACAGACGTGTGGTGCTTCTGGCTCGGATGAGAAGTCTTGCAGCCGTAACACAGATATTCGTTGTGATCCCGAAATGCAGCGTACAAGACGCGGGTGACAAGGGACTTTACAATGTCCTACTGGCGCTGCTCTGGCTACTGTCATTGCTGTGCTGGCTGCGGTCTTCCTCCCCCTCCGACTCTTCCTCCTCTTCGCTGCAGCTGCTGACAGGCTGGAGCAGATATTCGAATTCAGAGTCCGTGGATGAAGCGGGAGAGGGCTGAGGAGCAGCAGGTTCAGTCTTGGAAGGATTCATTGTTGATGAAAAAACGTAAAAGAGTTTGGTCGCTGGAGTGGAGTGGTAGCTGAAACACTTCCATCTCTACTTATTTCAGGGCTGAGGGGGGCGGCTGGAGGGTTGCAGGGGGTGTGGTTATGCAAACAAGACCTTTTTCAACACTACAATCTCCTGCCACTGCTGGCTGGCACGGAATAACGTGGTAATCTCGTCCCCCACCTGTTAAAAATCTCCATCCAAGTTATACAGCGCAGGTTCAGAGTCTCCTGAAATACACCACATTCTGTGTTGAACCTGTACATACTCTACATACTCATTACTCCGTTTTTATCCCCTAGCCCTTGCGCCACAACTTTGTAGTACCATCTCCCCGAACTGCAGTAGTTTGTCTCCCAACTGCAGCCGAACTGCAGCCGTTTGTCTCCCACCCCCAGGCCCCCCAAGGGTGGGGGTCTTGGGGGCGGGACAAAGCTTCTGATTGGATAACCTTTCACCTAGAACTGTCAAATCGAGTTTGATGAAAGCCAGTATCTATACTGTGTGTGCTCAAGACAAAAGTGGCATAGTCAGTGGGTAAATCCCAGTTCCCATAACTGATTGTTCCTTGTTTGACCCACAGGTTGTTTTTATCCGGCATCTTGAAGGATGTCCCAAAGGGGCGATTCCTCTCTCGTCACATTTATTCTTTGCTTCTTTTTCTCTGTTACGTTGGTGGAACTAAGAAATGTGTATGCAATTAAGGGAATTTGGATTTACACGTTTGCTCTGATGTACATTTATTGCTTTCCACAGATTTCCTGTGCTTGCAGCCTTTTCAGGTGTGGTAAAAATGTGCCACCACCTACAGGCAGAGAAATAGTAGCTGCTTTAATATGGGACACCTGCAGGAAATGAGCGTCGTAGCTCGGGCACTGCTTCATTTGCCATGTTTTTGATTTTTGTATTGTATTTTCTGTTCTAGTTTCACTGGAAGTGCAGATCACACCAAGTCATGGTGAAATTAGTCTTGGAGAGTCCAAGTTCTTCGTGTGTGATGGTAAGTTTACTTTACGGCTTGTCATCTGGGAATACCAGCTATTTTACCTTTCAAACTTGCATCCAAACTATCAGGTTTTGCTTTTTACATCCATTTTTTTAATATATGCGCTAAAGTAATTAAAAATAAAGTTCAGCAGACCAAGGTCTTTTTTGTGTTTATATTAATCTTATCTATCTAATCTGTCATCTTAACATGAATACAGAAACAAAAATGGGCTGAGTTTTTCTCAAAAAAATCTGCCAGAAAAATCCTCATTCAAAGTCAAAGACAAAGTGCTTATTTGTCATATGCACAGTTAGGAAACGTGTTTCCTTGTACAATGAAATCCTTACTTTGCCATCCACATGAATGCCACAAAATACAAGTGAAATATAAAGTAGAGCAATAACACAAATCTAAATAAGCAGTAAAATCACATCTATCATTCAAGTTGGCATGTTGGTAGTACTCACACACATATTGTCATACATAACTGGTACCCTGGTGAAGCACCGATAATAAAATAATGAGTGCTAATACAAGTACTTTCACATTAGCAACCATGCATCCTCTTCAGCAGGGTTTGGCCTGAATGTAGGACAACCCAGATCGCTTTTCCAACATACTGTATGTTACACTTTGGAACTCGTGGAAAGGTTCCCTGGGATGCCATTTACCCAAGAAGGGTCCTCATCATTGAAGTCTTTTCTCTTGTAAAAGTGAAACATGAAATACTGTAATGTGTAAAGCCCATATTTGTGCATCTTGGCGGTCAGTCACAGACTGACAGGCTCTAGAAAGCTGTCATTTACTTCTCTCTGACAGCATTTCTCGTGACTGGCTTTTGAGCTCATCCTGTGACTGCTGTAATTCTTGGGTGTTTGACAGATCTTTTCTGTGGCCAATTTCAGCACCAAAGGCACAGGGAGATGCTGTTTTCATCCTGCCAGGTTAAACTGGATTAATGAAGCACTTTTAGAGCTGACTTGAACTATAACCTGACTTGAACAGCCGCCGGCTCTGTAACATTCATGCTACAAACAACCCATTCTGTAAAACACTGTAGTTACAATGGTAAACCCCCCCCTCCCCCCCTTTTTTTTTTCCAAACCTAATTTTGGGGAAGAGAAATATAGGCTGCTTTCTAGTCGATACATCATTTGACAGTCTTTTAAAAACATTTGATCCTGGTGATTTAAAGGCCTAGGATACATATCATATACCCACGAGGATGTTCTGATCATTCAGTGACCCTTGTTGCTTGACACATCTTTTAATGTTCTGTTTCCTATTGCCCTCCATATCTGTTCAAGACAAATGGCCCAAAATCACAACATTTTGAGTTCATTATTGGCTGATATTTTATTTTTCTGACATTTAGTTTGTTTCAAACAGCCACTGTAAATGTATAAACCACAGACTTCAGCCCAGTGCGGACGAATGTGCAGCCCACAGTGTTCAGTCTGCGGGCTCTGTGTGACTTCACTGATGTGAAATGTGTACCTTTTATAGATGCCTTTTATCTTACTGTATGTACTGCTCTTTACTGTGCTCTCAGTTGTAGGCGTTGCCAAGCACATAGACTGGTTTGGACCAAATGGGGACCGGATAGAACCAAACAGACCAGACATAACAGTAACCCGTAATGATGAGTCATCGTCCACCCTCACACTATATAAAGCTGGAACTGAAAATGCAGGGACTTACAAGTGTGTCGCTACCAGTGGAGACCAGCAAGAAGAGTCAACCGTCAAAGTTAAAATCTTTCGTAAGTTTCCCCCACCTTATAAACACTACACATTATTGAGTTGTATGTGCATAGCAGAAAAATTGTGTTTATTGAACTCATGGTATTTTAGCGACTGCTCAAGGGCAGCACATTACTCTTTTTTTTTTCCAAGTAAGGGTGGATTTTTCATCAGTTCAATAAACAATTGAGAGACTATTAGAGGGATGCTTAATGATCCTGTCTGTTATGCAGTTGTTGTGAGTAATGGCTTTTATTTTCCGTGAATGCCCATCATCAGCAAATGTCCATCAGAGATGCAATCCTTTGATTTTCCAAACAGACAGTTTCTGTTATTTCACTCCCTATTTTAGGTTGTTATTGGTTATGGACACAAAGCCTAGAGGTTGAATATTAAAATCAATATACAGTGTCGGTTGCAAAATAGGATAGCAGTTATATTTTGCTTTCCTGTTTTTGAAGAATGCACATCAGGAAAAATGCTAAGTTTAACTGCTTTGTTTACATGTAACTGGCTTGTAGCCACTTCACAAACTCATAGTGACATTAGGCAAGTCACCAGGGTTTTCACAGTTAAGAGATCAGCTTACTGATGTACTGAGTAAAAAGATATGCTTATTATATTACAGAAAAAATCACCTTCACAAATGCACCCTCACCCCAAGAGTTCACCGAAGGGGACAATGCCAACATAGTTTGTGACGTCGTCAGTTCACCTCCTCCCACTGTCCTCTGGAAATATAAAGGAGCAAAAATACAGATGGAAAAAGATGGTAAGGTTTCTGTCTTCCATTTTTTATTGTGATTAGCTCTTATCTGTTTTACCATTTTTATTAATCAACAGTTTTGAGTATTTTGTTCAGATCTTAACTCATGAAAATGAATTGGTTAGTTGTAATTAGCATTTGACATTTAGTTTTGTCTGGTTTGTGTAACGATTTGGATTAAATGTCTTCACATACATCATTTTAACCAAAGAGTACTAAGGCTAAAACATGAACAAGGATTACTTTTGAGTCATGTAACTGCAGTATTGCCTTTTTGTAATGTCAAAGATGTGAGGAAAACTCTTAAGGCAACCATCCAAAAATCCAAACAGTAATGGACATAGACTGTTGTATAAAAGAAGACTACATAGTGAAAATACAACCACAGAGACCTAATTACAAGCTTTAATGGATATGTAGTTTTACTGTACCAGTGTTAGAGAATTATTCATGCCCTGCTTTGTTGCTGTTATTGTCCAGGGTTTATCCTCTGCTTTGAAAGGAAAATTAATTTGGTCCTGAATCTGAAAATACTGTTTTTTACCCTTGACACTGAGCAATATCATAACATGCATGGCAGTGTTAGCATTGCTCACTGGAAAATAACACAAACCTGTGTGGGCTGTATTGGTATTTTAAATTACTACATGATTAAATTTATTTGGCTCACATTTATCTCAGACTAAAGGAATTTTTTGTGGCCATATTTCTCATTTTCTGGGCTGGTGGAAGGAGAGTTGGACTTGTACATATGGATTTTGCAGAGTGGAAGTTGCATATATGTCCCCAAAATAACCTCAGAGTAGCAAAAATATGCATATACCTCACACTAATAGAGCTCAATGAATAATTCATTTTTAAGTTTGTAGTGATACCAGTGTATCAGTGACTAAAGCAGACATCAGTTTTAAAATGCTGACAAGTTGTCAGGCAGGTATTTCAAAGTGAATCTTTGCCATGGTTGAATAATTGATCAGTCAAGAGTTTTCTTTATTTATTGTTTCATTACATCACTATGTAACCCTCTAACACAACAGTGGCTATTCATCATCAGATACTTAAAGTGAGTGATTGTGTCTGATTTAAACTTGTCAAATGTGTGACATTGCATTTGTCTTTCTCCTTTCAGTACGGTTTAAGGTGTTGAGCAACAGTCACCTTCAAATCCGAGGCATAAAGAAAACAGACGAAGGCGCATATACTTGTGAGGGTCGCCTTATGGCTCGCGGCGAGATTGATTTGCGGGTCATCAAGGTCGTTGTAAACGGTTAGCAGCCCTTTGTCCGTCACACCTTTTCCTCTTCCTTTTTGTTCCTGTGTGCATGTTTTTGTGCGGCAGGTGTCCCATGATGCTTAAATAAGCTGTAAATCCTTAGAGAGGACCAGGCTCAGCGTCAGTGTGGAAACAGTTGTCCAGAGCAACCACATATCAAAGATGTTTCCTGCTAATGAAGACTGTTTTGTGCAGCTTCTGAGCCTAGCAAATTGGTGTGCCTAAAACAAGTGTTCTGAATTTCTCATTGCCTCTGTTTCTCTTTTCCCTACTGTCTGTCTAGTTATCTGTCCGCCTGGCTGTCTATTGTATGTGACTATATATATGTATGTATCTATTTATTTATTTATTTGTGCTTATTTCTTTATTTTTATTTTAATATCTGCACCTCAGTGCTTCCGACCATCAGGGTATGGAAATCAGAGGTGAATGCCACAGCAGATGTCGGGCAGCCTGCATTGTTAACTTGTGCTGTTGATGGCTATCCTGAACCCATGGTGACCTGGACAAGGTAAAAACTTTGCTAGCAACTGGAGAGACAAATGCTTTAACAGTTGCAGCATCACCTGTCAGATGCCAGCACATTGCCCTAATGACTTAAACAGGTTATCTTTTAATTTGTAGACTGGACATACAGTGCAAGTCAAAAACATAGTCTACTGTTTGAGAATAAAACAAGGAAGATACCTGACTTAATCGAATAATAAAGGGATTGCTTTATTATTAGATTGCTTTAATGTAAGACAACTACCAGTTGTCTAATTAATTGATTGATTGTCATTTATGATAACTCACACATACAGAATAATGACCAGGAGGGTTCATCATTTAAAGTGTGTTAAAACTGATATTAATGTGTTAGCATGCTACTATTTGCCAGTTGGCACTAAACAGTTGAGGGTGATGGGAATGTCATTAGTTTTGCAGGCATTTGGTCATAAATACTGGACAAATTTAAAGTTTGAGCTGATAATGGTAAATGGTCTTATACTTGTATAGCGCTTTTCTGTGGCTTACAGCACACTCAAAGCGCTTTCACACTATTTGGCCATTCGTTTATTCATTCACACGCCCAAGCACTCACACATTCATGCACCGGTGACACTGGGAGCAACTGGGGGTTCAGTGTCTTGCTCAAGGACACTTCGACAGCTGGGAATCGAACCACTAATCTTACGGTTAGGAGAAAACCCGCTCTGCCTCCTGAGCCACAGAATAAAGCCACTAAGTAAATGGGACTACATGAAAAGTTAAGGGAAGGTCAAAGTTTATACAGCTCATGCTGAGGTAGACATGAATGTCTGCAACAGATTTCATAGTAATTCTTCCAGTAGTTGTTGAGACATTTTATTCTTAATGCAACATGTCAGTTTGCTGGTGGCACTAGAGGAAAAAGTCAGAGGTTCACCGTAGTCAATACTCATGGCTGTACAAAATTTCATCTGAATCAATATGGTAGTTGTTAAGATGCACTGTAATGGTGGAATGCCCAGTAGACTTGACTAACCACTGAACTGTCCTGTGAGTGTGGCTAAATGGTAAATGGTAAATGGTAAAACTAGGGTTTGATGGTGGCAGTGTCATCTATTGTAGACAGCACAAATAGTTGCTGACACACGGCATCAGTAGAGGTAAAAGCTGCACCAGACTAATGAGGTAGGGCTAATCAAAAATGTGAGCTGTGCGGGTTGTTCATGTACCGTGCCAGCCATATATCTGTTAGTATCATCTTGAAAACGTTTCTCCTACATCTCCAGATTCGTACATTGGTAGTACTCGCTTTCTAAAGTGGCTAATTTTGCATAAGACATATAAATTAAGCATAAAATTTATTCATAGCCTATTATGTTTCTGTGTTTATGAAGGTTGTAACTTTCTACAATTCAGCACAATTGCATGAAAAATATTAATTTTCACCAGCAAAATTGCACAGTATTATAAATAATGCAAGCAATATTATATAATGATGTGATGAAAATATTTTTACAGAAACTGACATATAGACTGCACTTGAAAAATGATATTCTGCTGGTTCAGTTTGCTGTCATCATGCTGCTTCTCAAGCTCTGTAAAAGTGACTTTATTGGACAGTTTCCTGTCCAGAGCTTGTCAAAATAAAGGGCATGAGTTTGTTTGCCAGTTTGCTTATACAAGTGGTTATTGTAATAGTCAAATTTAATTGCTGTCAGAAAAATATCCACACGGTACCACACGCACATCAGGAATGGTGTTTTTGTGTCTGAATGCAGCCATTCATAGGCTCCTGCTTTGTTAAACTGGTCCTCTCCACCAGTCATCAATTTAGATCGGGGGTCACAGAGTGCTAGTGCTGGCCTTAGTTTTTAGTATTTTGTTGTCCTTGAATCTTTTTTTTATACTTGTAAAGTAAGATGGCACCTAGATGTTGTGAAAGCTGTGTTTAAAAGCCAAAACTAGCAATAACGACACAGGCAAGGAGCATTATCCCTTTTATGTTTTTGGCAGTAGTGACAGTTTAGACTCTAGGACAAAATGAAAATATATGAGAGTTTTTGTTGAGACTGACTCTTGACACCAAATATGAGCCTTCAAAACAAAAATATTACAACCCTAATTTTCTGAAATAGGTTTCTGCTCCGCTCACTTGAGCTTTGTGCCTTTGCCACTCAGGGTTTTATAAACTATGCATATTTAGTAAAGACCTAAAGGTTTTGAGTAAGGATTTGTTTTGAAGAGAACAGCTTGTGTTTGAAATGGGCTGAATAGGCGGATATAATGTTCAACACGTGTGCTTTTCCAAAGGAACGAAGTGGTTCTCGAGGCAGGACAGAAGTACAGCTTTAATGAAGATGGCTCAGAAATGACAATAATGGATGTGACCAAGCTGGATGAAGGAGAGTACACCTGCATTGCCAAGAATAAGGCTGGGGAAAGTGAGCAGGAGCTCAGTCTACGAGTGTTTGGTAAGGAGGAACGCTTTCTACATACATGTAACAATAAACAATGTTCCAAGTGCGTGGGAATGAGTATAGGAGTATGTCGGTGGGGGAAGACAATAGTATGGTTGTGTGTCTCTTTTACAAGCTGAGGTGTTGTTTCAGTGTGGGTTGAGATTGTTTCATGTAGCGATGGAGCTTCAGGATTTGGAGAACTGGTCAAGTGTGATGAGCTCACCTGAACTCCTTGAAGCCTTTTCTTGCATTTTTGTTTTTACTCACGAGGTTATTGTTGCCTTTGTTTTCCCACTGAACAATGACCATCATTTCCATCATAATTACAGTACAATATCAGTCCATGTAGTCATATCAGTTAAATTTAACATTACTTTAGCTGTTGCAGTTTGTTTTTTTAACAAAAGAAGTGGACAACCTCTTTAGATCTCAATAGATAATCTTACTCAAGACAGCTTTCAAAGCACATTGTTCACCTGTCATCTCCAAGATTTCCTCGCGCTCTCGAAGCGCTGACTGTCTTATAACAAGCTGCAATCATGCATTGCCTTGTAAGCTTTGAAGCCCGAGTATATAACGTGTTTCCCAATCAGTTTATTTTGTCCCTGATACTGAGTTCTTGAGTACCTGTCAGTATCACGTTTGATTGGATTTTTATATTTTCCTACATAATACAGCTGCACAGTGCCACAAAGCCTGGTAGTAAATCTTAAGCATTTCTCTGTGACAATCAATATTTATAAATAAATAAGCAATTTATCAAGAATTTACCACTGAAAACCCAGTTTCATCAGGATTTTGTGGGTGTGTTTTGAGCAGTTTGATTGACAGTGCTGACAACAATAGTGAACAACCTCACACCTGTCAGTTTATTTTTGATTCAGATGTTGCTAAATTGGTGCAAGGAAGTACGTGACAACACTTCTCCAGTTAAGCTTTACCCACAAAAAAGAAATCTAGACATTACTTATGTAAATACTGCAACAGAAACTCCCCTATCTTTAGGAGATAATTGTGTTATGTTGATTATGTATGTTGTAAGAATATGATGGAGAAAAGCTACACTAAAATTTGTAAAGCACGTAGTTTGAGTACTGAATAACTCTGATCTCTGAAAATACATTGTGTGTCAGTATCTCTGTGTGTGTAGTGGCTGTCAGTGTGGAGGTATTGTGGCTTCAAGGTGTAGGAAGGAGTTGTTTATCTCTTTTTTATCTCCAGCATGAACAAGAGCCAGCAGCAGAAGCTTCTTAAAGTTGTTGTGCACCTGCAAAATGCTCACTCAGTGCTTTGCTCACTTCAGTTGACTGACAACAGTGTGTTCACTGCCATTCAAACACATGGCCACTGTTTGTTGGTTTGTTTCTGCCACTCCAGGGTCCTCTCACAATACTGTATGCTGTTCCAGTGTGTTAATGATAAAGCAAAGATTGGATATATAATTGTGTATATATATGTGTATATATAT